GGTCCATACAGACAAATGCATAAAAATATAATCATTTGTGTTCTTCACAAGATACTCAGGATTTTGATGGAAAAAGTCAAAGAAAAAAAATTCTAGCTCAAAGCAATTAAAAATATAAATACAAGCCATTATAACCCTATCATAAACCAAAAAAGATGATGCCCCCTAAAATGAAGTCTTTAAAGGGGCATCAGAGATGGGAGTGATAAGGAAAATATTCAACACAGCCATCAAGGTCAGCAAACCACATTTTTCCTCCATTAACAAAGTCAGCAAAGCACTCCCAGCTCCCTCCTCCCTTCTTTCTCCGGGCTCCTCTTTCGCTCTGCACATGCAGAAATGCCACATATCAAAATAATATAAATTGCTCCCCTTGCTTGTGCTCAGGGCTCAGACCTTGGGAGATTACTATCCTCTGAGCCCACCGGTATAAAATAAAATTTCAACACTCCAAGACCTCTGAGTGCCACTTGGTTCTTCCATCAGTGATCCAGTCCAGGTTTTCCATTTTTTTTCACAACAACAGTAGTACTCACTGGGTGACTGGGCCTTATCTTTGCATCTCCTGGCTCCAGAATTTTCTTTTTCCACATCTGTCAAGATTGCTTGTTCAGTGGTTCATCTTCAGACCCTGCTGTAGACCAGAGTGGTTCATATCTAAATTTCCTCTTCATTTACAGACATTATAGGAGCCTACTATCTACCAACCTAGGAGCAGTGTTATTTGTTGTTTAAGCTCATGCAACTAAACCTCAGAGGCCCCTGGACCTAACCACATAATGAAGCCTAGTTTACTTTGATATGGCCCCTCCCCTGATTAGACACACCAAGTTCTTTTCTCAATAATACCCCTAAACTACTGGATAATTTTTATCTGGAAATTATTTTGGAAGGGAGATATCAGATGAATGAATGTCATCTCTGTGATCTCTTTACCCCTTCCTTTCCTCAGTTCATAAGGTCTTGGACTAAAACATGTGGAGAGAATTTCTCTAATTTTCCCCATTAAAGTTTCCCCTGCCTCAAGTCAGCTAAGCATTAATGGTAGGCAATGATCTCTGTATTTTTGTGCACATGACAGATAGAATCCCATGATCTAATAATTCCATCTTGGTTTTGAGTTTTCAAAAGAGATCAAAGAATAATCATGTCAATAAACTGATTTATAAAGCCATCACCTGCTTCAAGATTTAATTTTTTTTCTTTATATATGGTTTCTGAGTTTTAATTTTTTTACAATGAACATAAATTACTCATAACAGAAAAAAACATATACATAAATATCATATAAGGCAAGATAAACCATTGTCATGTCAGGCATAACTAATCTTGCTGACACAGGGTTATAGTGTATAATAAAATACTGCACTGTATTGGGTATCATCTTTAGAGGTGGTATTTTTTTTCTCCAAGATTTAATTTTTCATATTTTTTTCTATTATAAATTCTACCACTGCCACACCAATATGGATGTATAGACAGATGAAGAATGAAGATAACTCCCATTTATTAATCACAATATATCAAGCACTATTCTAAATGTCTTACATGTGCTGACATTTACCAATCTCCACAATATTATAAGTTACTATTAACCCTATGTACAAGAGACTGAGGCATGGGAAGATTAAAAACGATCAATAGTCGTACAACTTGCATGTAGGGGAGCTGGCCTTTGAACCCTGACAATCTCAATGAAGTTTTTGTTTTTAACCACTATAGTGTTCTTTAGGGTAAAATAGTTAATTCTTTGGATTAAAAAAAGTAAAATACATTGACTTTAAAAACATTTCCTCACACAGATACACAGTTTATAGCAGAGTATTCCCAGATCCACCTTGCTAGTGGAAAATAGATTCAACAATTACATTATTTGTTTCATATACCATAGCTTGAGCTACCCTTAGTTCATGTCTGTCTTATTCTGTATAAACTAAGAGTGAGTCTGGCATAAGACAGGTGCTGAACACATGATTTTAGATGAATCATTGAACAATCTTTTGAATAAGAATTATATGTTTAAAATATGGAATATTCAGTTTATGAATTTAAAAATAGATAATCCACCTGATCATTTACTTCTAGATTATAATAGAATTTATGCACAAAGTGTAAAATTTTTTTACTTTTTTTTTTTTACATTGTAAAAAAAAATTTTTTTTACATTTATTACTCTTAAGATCATTAGAAATTAAGAAAGTGGATGGATTTAAGTTTAAAGTATAAGAATCAATGTATTCCATTTACAAGTTACACTTCTCAAATTTCTTAGTTGCAACAGTCCTAGACCCAATCCTAGCTGTATTTAGCTCTATCACAGAATCTCTAGAAAGGTTTAATAATCAAGCTTGGAAGACATGAAACCCGGGCAATGAAATGCCCTAAGAGCGCATACTGCTTACACTGCTGGGCACAGACTCTACATTTTTTACTGTGGATGCTGGGGACTAGATTACAGACTCCACTACTGTTCCCAAAGCTAAATTCCTTGGCCCCCAGCTTTGGCAGAAGTGTGTGCCACATAATGCCTGCTTTCTCATGTTGCTCTTCCTTAGGCTGAAGTCTCAGGCTGGAACATCTAATCTTAGAACTCAGGTCCTATTCCTGTATTCCAGCTGTAAGGGATACATGGAAGGTGAGTTTTTGTTTTCTGCCTTGGACATAGTAATAATAATAATATGAGAATTCCTACAATGCATGATGTTGTTCAAAGATTTTCAATACCTGCAATGCATGTTTCATATGAATAGTAAGTGAGTCAGGTTTATAGTAGCCACACAAATGTAAAATCATAGAATAATTCTATTGAGGAATGTGTATTACCTTCATAAAGAGAATTAGCAAAATTTTCTTTAGTGTGAACAGCAAAACTTTTACTATTTCTTGGTAAAACGAAACTACACAATAGAACACATTTCTCAAGTAAATTTATAAATTCTGAATAACTGAATGATCTCAAAGACAAACACAATATTTATTAAAATTAATAAATTCAAAATAGAATGCAAGGCAATTAAAGTATAAATCAAAGACTGCATTCTGTTACCCAAATCATTACACTACACAATAATGTAGTATTACTTAATTAACATAAATGCATAAATGCATATTAATAAAAATATTTGAAACAGGAATAGAGATAAAAATTTATATGCTCTTTTGTAATTTAGCAGGGTCATTAAAATAAGTTGAGAAATATTTCATGAATTATGTTAACATATTTCATTGATGTGCAAGTTAAGAAGAAAAAACATAATTTACATATTATTGCAGATGGACTGGGTAGTCTAATAACTGAGAAAAAAAATTATTATTGGTCACGTGAGGTTATTCTTGAAAGCCCAAATTACTTAAACTTTGTTGATCCAATATTTAAAAATTCATATTAACTTAGTTATTAGATTTGCACAGAAAATAAATGACCTGAAAAATGGGATTAAAGAGAGACTAAGAAAATGCTTTTGCCACTTAAAAAAGATAATAACACAGCATTCTAATATGTATAAAATATTTTACATAATTGATAAAGTATAAAAATATCAAATTAAAATGAATAATCTGAGAGACAGAAATATTATAAACATATTGAATCTCTTGATCTATTGTAATTAAAAAATAATGAAAGAAAAAATGTTAATGCCATTAAAATGGAAAAAGTTAAAAAGCCCCACAATATCCAGTGCTGTATATACTTTAAGTACTTTGTTGTTCCAGTCCCTGGTATGATTCATCTTTATAAATCTTTGTTGCGTAAATTCATAATGTAAGAATAGAAATAGGTTAGCATAAGCATAGCCATCTTAAAGGCCTAGAAGCCATTTTCTGAGTATGTGACTTAGAAAGAAAAACTGGAACTGGGTAAGGCCTTGAAAAACAAGTTAATCATGAGCACCGGGTGGTGGGCAGCTGTGACCCTTGGTCAGCTAACCTTGGTCAGTAAATCTTACATACCAAGCTTATCGTGCAGAACCTCCCTAACCATTGAGGAGTAGTCTTACCCTGCCCTTGCTTAACCCCAGGATATATGTCTTGCAAGAATAATGTATAGTTATAGAAAATTGCTATGAGTTAAGTGCTTTGAAATTGCTATATAAACCCTTGGCTCTGAGTGCTCGGGGTCCTTGTTGAGACCCACTGCATCGGGCTGACTTGGACCCCAACTAGTTGGCTGAATAAAGACTTTGCTTGAATTTACATCTCTATGCCTGTGTATTTTGTTCTCTGGGGAAGCCTCGGAAGCCTGCACCCTAACAATAAATTCATGTGGAGAAGTGATATGGCCACACTTTCCTAATAGCCACATAAAATGGCTTTATATATTTGGTAAGCAATATGGCCATATATTCAAGACAGATGAACGCATTACAGTTTGATTAATCCCAGTTCTTGGAATTATGAAGAGCAAAACATCAATTTTTAGCATTACTTATCAGAGTGAAAAACTGGAAAAAGCATACATATAAAATACAACAATGGTTAAATGTATTATTATACGAATTCCATTGAATATTATGCATTCAAAAAATTATACTAATAAAACTACACAATGTTATATATATTTGCACTCATATGAAAAATTGGTATATATAAAGACAAAAATTAAAATGGACATCTGAAATTAAATTATTGATAAGCAGAATCATGGAGAAAATTATCACTTTTCATTCCTATTATTGTAATATTATCTATGTAGAGTTTTTAAAAAGTGTTCTATTTGTGTGTGCATGTATGTGTATGTGTCTATATATATTGGGAGGGAAAGGAAAGTAGTGGGTCCATATTAAAAAGTTATAATTGTTTATTTTCTCTTAATCTGAAGGAACAAATAGAAGGTTTCATTGATAAAATTGGTGAAGAAATCAGATGAAGAATTTCCACATGACAATTGTTATATTACACGGTTTATCTACAGGAAAAAGTTATTGCTTTTCCTCAACATTACATATTGAAAGCATTCTAATTATTTTAAAAAGTTCCTTGTGTATAATATTGAACAGCCATCAGCAACAGGGCAAAAACGTTTTTTTCCTTATGAATTCTCCACCCAACAGTAACTTTCTTACAGCTCTCTGCATGGCCTCATTCCTCAAGCTGTAAATAACAGGGTTGAGTGTTGGAGGCACTACTGTATAAAAGATAGATATCATAAGGTCAAAAGCACTTGGAGAATCTGAAGTTGGTTTTAGAAACTCAAAAATGCCTGTGGAGAGAAAAAATGACACAACAAAGAGATGAGGCATGCAGGTGGAGAAGGCTTTGGAGCGGCCCTCAGCAGAGGGTATTTTTAGAACTGTGGAAAAGATGTGGACATAGGAGAGGACAATGGAAAGGAAACAGATGAATGCCATCACAGACATGAAAGAAGCCACTCCAACCACTCCAACATAATCATTGGAGCAGGAGAGCTTCAGCAACTGAGGGACATCACAGAAGAACTGGTGGATGATTTTGGCCCTACAGAATGTGATAGAAAATGTGGCAGTTGTGTACAAGACTCCAGAGATGCTTCCACTTAGCCAAACAGCCATCACAGCCCACTTACAGGTTCCTGGACCCATGGTGACCTCATAGTGCAGTGGGAGGCAAATGGCCACATAGCGGTCATAAGACATCACTGTGAGAATGGCCACCTCAGCCCAGGCCAAAGATGTGAAAAAGAAAACCTGAAGTATGCACTGACTGTGGGAAATATAGCCATTGTCCATCAGAGAATTGTCAATGGACTGAGGGACCGTGACAGAAATGAAGGTGATGTCCAGAAGGGAAAGGTGTTTCAAAAAGTAATACATGGGGGATTGGAGATGTTGGTCCAGCGTTGTGATAGCGATAATGATAAGGTTACCTGCCAAGGCTAATAGGTACATCATCAAGAAAAGCAATGCATGTAAGATCTGCAGCTCATGATTATCAGAAAATCCCATGAGGAGGAACCCACTCATTGTGGTTCCATTTTCCATAGCCAATTTGAAGATACAAATTGTGTTGGCAGCTGGAAGATGAAGAGAATAAAGGAAATGCAGTAGAGAGATATTAAAATATTCATTTATCCATCACTACTTCATTCAGCAAGTAATTTTTAAATACCTTTTGTTTATCAGCTGTGCCTGGATGCTAGGGATCCAAAGATGAAGACATGTATTTCTTGTATTCATGGAGCTCACAGTCAAAACTATTAAATCAGTAGGTATAGATGAGTGCAGATGTGGTCAGACTCACTGGTCCTGTCACAGAAAAATGGTTGCATTTGCACCACCAAAAGCACCGTTCCATATCCACAGGAAAAACCCATTGCTTCACTTATAGTCAACAACAGAAAATCAGTGATCAGCTTTTTATTAGAAGTTTCAAAAATTGGACTGGTTTCATTTGTGTATTGTGTATTGCTCTATTTTAGGAGATAAAATTGCCCTTGAAAGGAAACATGGTTTTGGGAATTTAAACACAAGCTAGATTTTTGGATGGTGTGATAATTTTTTCCTGGAAGAAATTTCTATTTTAGTGAGAGCCCTGTAGTTTTGGAGCCAAAGGCCAAATTATGCAGTGTTATTGCCCTTCAGAGGAACATTTTAGTTAATGGTATCTCATTGAAATCAAGGGCAAAACATCATTTGCAAAGGAAATGCTTATACTTCATTGTCAGATTTAGTGTTTAATCTGATTGCATGAGGCTTCTTCTGGTATGTAACAGCGTTCTCTTTGAATCTTCATTGTATTTAACTTCTCTTCACATTGTCTTCAGTTAAAGACATCGAAAATTCATTGACTCTTTACTATGTGCAAAGGCATTTGCAAAAAGAGGGATATATAGTGATTGTTCTGAGGTGGTTTTAAATGTGGGGGGAAAACATTCAAATACCCAATACACAACTTCAGAAAGAGAATCTGAAGAGGTATTTCAGAGAAGAGGTTTATCATGTTTGAGTTCTTTTCCAGTGTTTTAGGCTATGTGAGGTGAATAACCAAGAGCTCCCCCATCAATAAATCTGCATCAGTACATGAGGGTTGATGAGTCACTCAGTAGTCTCTCATCTTCCTGCATTTCATCCTCCATCTGTGAGTTCCAAGCAACAACTGGAAAAACTGCTGTATGAGATAGTCAATATCTTAGGGCTTTATTCTAAACCATGTGAAATCTCACTTGATAACTTTTGTGTCTCACTAATGCCCATTCCTAAAAATGGCATCTGGGAGAGTCCCCAAGTTTATATCAACACCTCCTCCCCATTTATCAGTCTGAGAGGGCTTTGTTAGTTCAATACTGACTTGCATTCACTTAATTTTTCTACTGTCTAACGTCAATCTCTGTTGATGGTTGAGACTTAAATTTGCCCCTCTCATGGCTCTTCTGTGAAAAATAAACTTGGCATTTGGGTACTCTTTTTCTACACTCTGCTGCCTGGCAAGTGTTCAATAGTTTTAGATTTACAATAAAAATGGATATTAAATTTTAAAATTTAAACTTATTTCAGCTACCAAATTTGGAATCCTTTTTCTCTTACCCTGTGAATATGAATCAGGATGTTAATCTATCTAGAATATACCCAACTTTTTCCATTTCCATCAAAACCTCACAACATAATACAGAAATCAGGAAGAATTAAAAAGCAAGCATGTGCTTCCAACTTCCAACATAATTTCCCTCTTTCTTTGTCTTATTTTCCGGCCCCCTTCTTCTAGAACTGATAAATCCATAAACCACATTACTGTTCATACTTAATTTTGATTTTGGTACATTAAATATTTTAATCTGCCAAATTTACACAACTCTTTATCAACAAATTAAGATGTTAAAAGAAACCAACAATTCTGAGCATTCATTTTTATGAGACAGACACCATGCTAGAGCCTGTCATAAAATATATCTTATTTAATCCACACAGGCATTTTTTATCATCTCCGAACCAAGCATTTTATTCTCTATTTCTACAAGAAAAAAATATGGCTCAGAATTCTTGAGTAACAGAATTGAGCGTTAGTACCAAACTCTCCCTTGCAATTCATACCACTGTTTTAAATCTAAAAATCCGTTAAGTATTAATGAAAGACATGAAGGAGTATTGGAAAAAGGCCAAAATTACACTGAATGTTTATCTGTCCAAAGTGGCTTTCACAGTGCTACCACAGATAATCTGAAGAACCACATAAGAGTACAAATACTTAACTGAATATTTATTTTAACCAATAAAATATTCTTTTCTATTATACTGGTTTTCTTTAAATTTTTCATTGCCCTAATAAATTTATGTAAATTAAATATTTTGCTTTATTAATCAGCTCATTTTCAGGGAAGTAAGCAATCTTTCCTATTATTAGCAGTCTTGCAATTTCAAACTGAATATGAGGAACATGAGTTACCATAAAATCTTCCCCTCTTTCCTTATCAAAGATTGGAAAACTTACAACAGCTGTTTTGGTGTGTGGTTATCAAAGCTGACCACCACATTCTGATATTTCTCATCTATAATAAGAGGAATCTTTTTAAACATGTTGCTTCCCTAAGGGCTTTTTTTTTCTTTTCCTTCTTTTGCCATGGAAGCCTGAACTGAATGATAGAAATATTTCATGTTCTCCAACTCTGCCACCTGGGACTTGGGGCCTTTGCAATTTTCACACAGAGGGGGAGTGACTTGGTAACTGGGTTTTTGTTTTCCTTAGTTCAGTTAGTAAAGTTAGTTCTCCAACTTTAGCACAGATATAAATCACTTTGAGAGCTTGTTAAAACACAGGACTTTAAGCCCCTTACTCAGTAGTTCTGATTCAAAAGGTCTGAGGTGCCGCATGAAGTTGAATGGCTAACAGTCACTCAGGAAACACTACTGCTGGTGGTGTGAGAACCACACTGAGAACCACTGTGCTAACTTAACCTGTACCTCAGAAAGACAAACAGTATTTCAAACTTAAAATAACAACAACAACAACAGCAATAATAATAATAATAAAAGTGAAAATCTCTAAAGTGAGGCTTCCTTGAAAACTAGAACTCAGTGTTAATAGATAACTTTATGTTAGAAATTGAGGCCTATGTACTGAATAGCAGATTGTGAATAGCTGTTTGGGTCACCTGTTATGATCTCTAAAAATCATAAAACTGTCTACTGAAAGATCCTAAAACAATTCTAGCAACAAGTACCTAAGAATTTCATGAAGTGGCCCACTCCGTTAAATTTTTTTTAAGATACACATTTTTTATTTTGTTGTCATTAATATACAATCACATGAGCAACATTGTGGTTACTAGATTCCCCCCATTCTCAAGTCCCCACCACATACCCCATTACAGTCACTGTCCTTTAGCATAGTAAGATGCTTACAGTCACTTCTTGTCTTCTCTGTGCTATATTGCCTTTCCCATGCCCACCCCTACATTATGTGAGCTAATCATAATGTCCCTTATTCCCCTTCTCCCTCACTTCCCACACACCCTCCCTAGTCCCTTTTGCTTTGGCGACTGTTAGCCCTTTCTTGGGTTCTGTGAGTCTGCTGCTGTTTTCTTCCTTCAGTTTTTGCTTTGTTCTTATACTTCACAGATGAGTGAAATCACTTTTATGTGTCTTTCTCTGCCTGGTTTATTTTACTGAGCATAATACCCTCTAGGTCCATCCATGCTGTTGCAAATGGTAGGATTTGTTTTCTTCTTATGGCTGAATAATATTCCATTGTGTATATGTACCACATCTTCTTTATCCATTCATCTATCGATGGACACTTATGTTGCTTCCACTTCTTGTCTATTGTAAATAGGGCTGAGATAAACAGGGGTGCATATGTCTTTTTGAACTGGGCTCCTACATTCTCAGGGTAAATTTCTAGGAGTGGAATTCCTGGACATTTCTATTTTTAGTTTTTTGAGGAACCTCTATACTGCTTTCCACAATGGTTGAACTAGTTTACATACCCACAAGCAGTGTAGGAGGGTTCCCTTTTCTCCACATCCTAATTTGTTGTTCCTATTCTTTTCTATGTTGACCATCCCAACTGGTGTGAGGTGATAAATCATTGTGGTTTTAATTCGCATTTTTCTGATAATTAGCGATGTGGAGCTCTTTTCATGTACCTATTGGCCATCTGAATTTCTTCTTTGGAGAAGTGTCTTTCATATCCTTCACCCATTTTTTAACCCAGTTATTTGCTTTCTGGGTGTTGAGGCATGTAAGTTCTTTATATATTTTGAATGTTAATCCCTTTCAAATATGTCATTTATGAATACAGTCTCCCATACTGTAGGATGCCTTTTTGTTCTGCTGATGGTGTCCTTTGCTGTACAGAAGCTTTTTAGCATGATGTAATCCCATTTATTCATTTATGGTTTTGTATCCCTTGCCCAAGGAGATGCATTCAGGAAAAAGTTGCTCATGCTTATATTCAAGTGATTTTTGCCTATGTTTTCTTCTAAGAGTTTTATGGTTTCATGACTTACATTCAGGTCTTTGATCCATTTTGAGTTTACTTTTGTGTATGGGGTTGGACAATAATCCAATTTCATTCTCTTGCATGGAGTTGTCCAGTTTTGCCAACACGAGTTGTTAAAGAGACTCTTATTTTCCCATTGTATATCCATGGCTCCTTTATTGTATAGTAATTGACCATATATGTTTGCATTTATATCTGAGCTTTCTAGTCTGTTCCATTGTTCTATGGGTCTGTTCTTGTGCCAGTATCAAGTTGTCTTGATTACTGTGCTTTTGTAGTAGAGCCTGAAGTCGGGGAGCTTAATTCCCCCGGCTTCATTCTTCCTTCTCAGGATTGCTTTGTCTATTTGGGATCTTTTGTGGTTCCATATGAATTTTAGAACTATTTGCTCTAGTGCTAAAGAGTGAAGAATGCTGTTGGTAGTTTGATAGGGATTGCATTGAATCTGTAGATTGCTTTAGGCAGGATGACCATTTTGACAATATTAATTCTTCCTATCCATGAGCACAGGATGCGTTTTCCTTTATTGGTATCTTCTTTAATTTCTCTCGAGTGTCTTGTAGTTTTCAGCGTATAGGTCTTTCACTTTCTTGGTTAGGTTTCTAGGTATTTTATTCTTTTTGATGCAATTGTGAATGGAATTGTTTTCCTGATTTTTCTTTCTGCTAGTTCATCATTAGTGTATAAGAATGCAACAGATTTCTGTGTGTTAATTTTGTATCCTGTAACTTTGCTAAATTCAAATATTAGATCTAGTAGTTTTGCAGTGGATTCTTTAGGGTTTTTTATGTACAATATCATGTCATCTGCAGTCTGTTAAATTTATTATTTAAATCTTTGCAAAAACTTTATAAATACTTAGAAATAAATGTATGCCTGCAATATTGTTCTGTGATTTCTGACTTCTTTCACTGTCTTTTATAGACATTACCAAAATTTTTTAGTAATAGTCATATGACTGCAAATGTATTAAATTCATTTTTTGAAGATCTCCTTAGAAGCTATATGGATATATAGTTGTTGTATTGTAAAGACTATGCAGCATTCTGCTCAAGTTATATTCCATGATTTGCAGGAAAATTTAGTTTATTCATTTATTCAACAAATATTTATTATCTATTTTGAATTATGCACTTTTGCAACTTACAAATAACATTGTTCATTGGTTTCTATGACCTATTCACTACCACAGTCATCTAAATAGGTCTAAAAGCTACTATTATTTTTCTTGATTATGAATAATGTAACAACAAATAATATTAGCAATATTATTCTGACAAGCATTGCATTTTTTACAATGGATATATTATTTGAAATTAAAAGAGATGAGATTATTGAGTTTAG